GTCCACTTCATGGCGTCTTCATATGCTCGAAGCGTGGGAAATCTATATCAGATCTGATTTTGTCGTACAACGGGCAGTCAAGCAAAATGTGTTTCTCGTCCTCGATATGGCTGTCAGTGTCACAGCAGGGCTGGTATATGCGCAATAAGAGCCGAAGCGTTTTTGGTTAGGAAGGTGAAGGGGTAGTTTGGGTAGCTGTAAGGATCTGGCGTGGTGTTGAGTGAGCGAGTGGTTGAAAGAATGAGTGAGTGTTCTAGCAGGTTGCAAGGGCGGTTTCCCCGTGCAGTGGAGCCCCTCAGGGGCCGGGTGGTCCTGCAGTTTGGCAATTACGTAATGATATGCACAGCGCGACGGAGAGCTGAGGTGCTTTGCCGTTATGTCGATATGATGGGTGCCGCCAGCATACAGAATCTCGAAGATATTGAACACCGGGAGGGTTCTGGACCCCACGACATGGAGGCACAGTCCTCCGTACCCGCCACGTAACACAACACGGCATTAAACGACGGTGTTTACAAATTTTCACTCGAAGGTCCATTTCTGCCGTATATGCCGTACAACAGGCTCAACGACATGCGTCTGGACCGGCCCACCACGCGGCTCTTCCAGGAGCGAGTCACGGCCACGGGGGTGCGTGTGGGGGACGGTGACACGGCCGACTGGTACTTCATACCCGTCACGCTGCGCCATACCTGCGATGCAACCACGCTGTCGGGGGCCATGTCGTACATACGGGAGATGCATCCGTGGTGGAACCGCACGCACGGCCATCGGCACTTCGTCATCGCGACAGGTACGGTACGGCATCAGTACAAAAACAGAATTCTATGACAAAATGCGCATTTGCAAAGCCTTCTCATGTCTTTCCATGTGGGGAAAAGCAGGGCATGACGATCCAGGCGCGACCCAGTATATACCGACCCACGGGTCTAAAACCTTACACGGCTCCGCAGGTGACGGGGGGCGCTCGGAGTCGGAACGCGGCCATCTGACCGCCAACGTTACTTTCGTGTCTTACTGGGGCCTGCACGCTCCGAAACTCTTCTCCGGTTGGAAGGCGTCCCACCGTAACGCCACCGACATCGTGCTGCCAGTGTTTCTTGGGCCCCATCAATTGTTCCGCATGGGCATTTTCACGTCCCGCCTTCACCCCAAGTTCGCCACCAAGGCCCCACAGGAGCTGCGGGAGCGGAATGGACCCACATTCTTCTTCGCAGGGTGGGTGAACGTGCAGGCTATGTGCCCAATGTTTGTATGGATGGAAAGAAAGGTATGAGGTCCGCGTGTTGCGATATTGATTTAAACGCCCCGTGCGTTGTGTTTTTCCGTGTATCCCATGCATATGTACGTGTACGGTATGTGCGTGTACGGCACTAAGGAAGATCACTTAATCGCCATCGCACCCTCCTTCCATACAGCACCCTCATTACAACCTCCGACCACTTAAGAACCCCCCTCACTCTCCCCCTCGCTCTCCCTCGCCCCCTCTCTCTCCCCCTCCCTCTCCCCCTCCCTCTCCCCCTCCCTCTCCCCCTCCCTCTCCCCCTCGCTCTCTTTCTCTCCCTC